GACAGCAGAGCTGTGAACATTCATCCCAAACAGAGGAGCTCAGCTAGGCCTAGATTTCCACACTCCCCAGAAGGGAAGCTGCACTTGGATATTGGTATATATGATCCAGGATGACACATACCCTAAAGTCTGACATGGATTAGGGAAAGGGAAAGGATTTTAATAAAGTCTTCACTCAGCATAAAAAGTGCTTCCGGGACATTTGGAAGAAACAGAAAGTTACCATGATACCCATGGGCTCTGATGAGCCACACCTCTTTCCTTAGGAACTTGTGTGTTCTCTGCTGTTCCTTCATTCACAGAGCCCCACCATAGAAAGAAGGCATTTATGGGTGCTAATCTGTTATTTCTTTCTTTTCTGTTATCTCCTAACTCAGACTTTTGCTTCTATCACTGAATTTTCCTACAGAATCCTTTTTGGCCTGACCCATCCATCTGCCTGTAGTAATATATGGAACGCATCAATTCTTTTCTAATTTCCGTATTAAGATCTGCCAGGAAAGCAGATCTGTTGCTATAGAAGGTGACAGTGGGAGAGAGAAGAGTCATGAGAAGCTGTTATAGACAGAGGTTTTCATAGAAGGAAGCTCACAGAGTATAGGAGTAAACTACCAGTGTCACCTTCATTTATGTAGAGAATCTCCCCATTGCATAATGGAAAAATCTTGCTAATAGTCCTCATAACTCTCTTACCAGTCAAATTGGTCAGAGAGAATAAGGAGAAATCTCTCCACCAAATTGGTGAAGGGGTAGAAAGAAAGATGTTGTGACCACAGTTAATAATCAGGAATGTGTTGGGACAGAAGATAAATGATTTTCTCTGTCATCAGTACAAGAGAAGTAGCTGTAAGGAACATACCATCTATAACCCTGAAGAGGGACCTGGACCAGATCAAGGATAAGAGATCATTCAAAAGTTAGCTAATGTTGTGTCAGGTTCTTTTCTATCAGATCTGCAGTCAACTGACATCAGGGAATTTATCTACATGTGACTGAGTGACTAAAGGGACAAAGGGTGTTCTGTGGTTTCAAAGTGCTCCCCCTCACTGTCTTTTACTCTATTGTTCTTCTGTTCTACCCATTCCACTATATGCGTACGAGAGAACACATTGGTGATACAATAAATTGAAAATACTGGGCTCAAATTTTAAAGTCATGGATTAAAAATCCAGCTTTCTGTTCATAATATACTAGATGTGTGATAGTGGGCAAAATTATGTTTTCTGGACCTCTAGATCTATATGTTTAATAGATGTTCACAATATTCTGGAGCATGAGCTATGCTCTTGGAAGATATTTTCTTATTTGGTCATTGGAACAACTTCTGATGGGATGGTTATAATGATGATTCCCAGTATATGGATGATAAAACTGAGGATTAAATGTCAATTAACTTTCCTATTACACTTCAATTTTTGGCAAAATTGAGAGTTGGATAAAAAATTACTCCTTTAAATGACTTACTTTTTTTATTTAATAGGAATTATTTCTACTTTCCATGACATTGCAATTACATGCCATATGTTAAAAATCTTGCACAATATATACTGCATAGTAAATTACAACTGGAGATGAACCCATAGAAAAAAGGTGAAGAAATTATCTGAGCTGGTTGAAGTAAATATTGTCTATAAGATTTCTATAAGAGAGATTTTTCTTTTAGCTTCTATATTAAAATTAATTTTAATTTAAATTTTTTTGTTTTTTTTTTTTTTTGATACAGGGTCTCTCTATGTATCCAACACTCAGCTTGAACTCATGATCCCTCCTGAGTTCTTGGGATTATGGGTGTGCATCAACATGCCCAGCTAAAATTCATTTTCTAAAAGTCAAGGTCACTCTGTTGGCCTCACCATTTGTCTTTAAGCTTGACTCACTGCATGACTTGGATAGTTTTGTGCTTGTCTGTTTAGTGACTAACAGAAAGTATAGTGTCATGGTTACCTTTAACAGTTAGTGAGACCCCATTTTCTGTGACAACACGTAGATGCATTGTGAAGCACCTTATATTATCCTAGTGTAATTCATCACATGAATAAAATCATTCATCTTGTGGCAGACTATGTCCATAAAAAGATGAAAACAAAGGTCTGTATTCTCTCTGAGATCATTACTGTATAGGAAGGCTCATGACCTGCTCTAGAGTTGAGACACCTGACAAGAGCAGAACACAAGGAAGCAATATAAATTGCCAGAGACATGACCTGTTTTAGGTAGGTAACAGGTGCAGTAACAGCAGAAAATATTGTTTTTTGCCTGAACTCAATGGCGACTAGATTTTCTTGGATTGCCTGAAATTTCTTCTCTATGTCGGCCATCATGACTGGGCATGCATCCAAGGAGGGGATGAGATTGTGGATTTGAGATGGTTTTTCTTTTTCTAATGTAAATATGTACAGTAGTCTATTTCCTTCTGAGCACTATTTTATGTAGTTTCTGTTTTTTAGTGGAGTGTTGCATAAACGTCATGAATTGATTGATAGTGCTGAGCAAGTCTGCTGTGTCTTTGTTGATTCTTTAACTGCTATTCTATTATTTATAAGAACAAAGATTTAGAATGTCGATGTATAACTGGGCTGTTTTTCTATTTTCCCTTTAGTTCTAATAATTTTATCTTTACTCTTTTGGAGATTCATTTTTATAATTGTATAATATCCATCTTTATTTCTGTAACATTTCTTTTCTTGAAGTTTAACTTGTTGAACATTAATATAGCTTTTCTAATCTTTTATTAGTTTTCAAAGGTATCTTTTTCCATTTTAATTTTTAATCTATGTTTCATATAAACTATATAGTTTTATTAAAATCCATGCTGACACTTTCTTCAATTTTGTTCATTGAAACCATTTATTTTTACATTAGTTATTGATATGATTATATCTATGCTTGCCATTTCATTACCCATTTTCTGTTTTGCTCTCTGATTTTAAACCTTAGCATTGTATTAAAATTTATCCTTTACCTTTTACTTTTTATTTCTCTTAAGAGTGTATTTGTGGCATGGATTTTTAGATAAGTATTCAATATAGTCCTTTAAAATAACAAATTTATAAAGCAAAAAAAATTTTGCCTTAACCTGCAAATAACTGGTAATTTTACTTTATAAAATTAATATGTTGCCTTAATTTTTTCAGATACTGGTATAGAAATCAATAAAATCTACAAAAATTTTCTGTCTTTCCAAAGATTTTATTCTGTCATATTAAAACTATCAGTCTTTCTATATTGATTACTTTGTAAGCTTGTCATTCACTTAATTTATATGGAATGTTGAAAGTGTGCTTTTTCTCCAACTCATAATGTAAAAAGCCTACTTCATAACATGTAAATAGTTGTCAAGATTTTAATATGTGATGGTAATAAATGCCTTTAATTTTCACTTTTCTATTATTAGTGTATTTTAACTGGTACATGGTAATTGTACATATTTATGGGACATAGATCGCATTTCAGTACATATATTCAATGTACAATGATCAGATCAGGGTAATTGCAAGTCTATCACCTCCAACACATAATTTCTTTGTGTTGAAAATATTCAAAATCTTGTCTATTAGCTATATTGAAATATTTAATTGCTTTCAACTTAGTTATCCTACTGTGCTACAGAATATTAAAAGTTACTCTTTCTATCCAACTATGTCACTGTACCCATTAACCATCTTCTCTCCCCCCTTTTCCCCCACCCCCTTCCCAGGCTCTGGTAATTATTGTTCTATTCTCTACTCCTTTGATCAACTTCAGCTACTTATCTAGATAACTGTTTATCTATATTTATCTATCTACAATCCATCTATTTGATTTGTAGCTATTTGTTTTTCTATTAGGTTTTTAGTGCTTCCTCTAAGGATTGCATTGTACCTACCACTTAACCCTTCATGGTCTACTTAGCATTATTTTACTGCTTCAAGAAAAATCCATAGCCTGAAGGTGGGGGGTGGAGGTGGCCCAAATAATGTATACACATGTAAGTAAATGTAAAAACAATAAAATAAAAAAATAAAAACCCATAAGTCTTACAACTGCAAGGGTTACTTTATCTTCCTATCTTTATGATACAGGTGTCAGATGTCTCCCATCTTCACACTTTGAAAACACAAACATGCAATGTTGATATCAACAGTCATACTCATTTTACATAAATCAAAAAGAGAAAATTATTGTGAATAAGGCCATAGTGAACTATGGGAGTGCAAATATCTATTTTTCTAAAATTTCTACAGAATATTTTCACTGGCTATAGAGTCATGATTGACAGAGATTTTTCCCTTGTAGGTAAGCTTTCTAAAAATGTAATGGAAGGTAGGTCATCTCTTACAGAACACCTTAAGGACTTTGATTTTACTGGGAGAGAAAAGGGACGCTATTGTAAGGACTTGAGCAAGGACTCACACTACACAAGTTTTAAAGACCTCACTGGCTTCTGTGTTAAGAATGCACTTGAAGAATGCAGAAGAACAAGCAGGGAGAGCTTTTAGAAGAACATCACAGCTCTACCAGGGTGACAGCAGCAGGTAGATTATGGGTCAATATTTAAGGCAGGACCAACTAGATTTCTTAATGGGTTACACATGACCATTGCAACAGCAAAAAATAAGAATCAAAGATGATTCTGAGGTTTTTCCAGAAATAGTGAAAGAATTGAGCAGCTGTCAGTTGAAAAACAAAAAGAAGTAGGAGGAGCATTTTGGAGGTGAAAGGGAAAGATCAGGAGTTCAGTAATGTCTCCACTAACTTGTAACACTGACCCTCTAGAATGCAGTTCATCCAGGAGGAGAACATAATCAGGAGTCTCTCTGTCTTAAGTCTTGTCTGACATGACCCAGGAGTAAAAGAATATGCCAAGTTCCTGTTTCTTTTCAGTAGTCAAACATTCCCCAGGTGTCTGCTTTTCCACCCTGCTTACTTTCATCACTCAAGAAACCTTACTAAAAACAGGTTAGGCTGTGCCCTTGAGTAACAGATACCCTGTGTTTTAGGAAGTTTGTGCTCAGCTTTACCTGTAGCCCCAGGCACTGTGCCACTGACAGCACAGAAGTACTCAGCTGTGTCGCTCAAATGGGCTGAGGCTTTCTTCAGGTGGAAGGAGGTTTCACTCTTCCTAAACTCAGCTTCAAAGCCTTTGATGCCTTTAACTAACAGGTCCCCTCCAATGTATTTGAGGAGAAGCTGGAGGCCCTGGTTGGGGTATTGGATGTACCAGAAGAGAAAAGGTGTTGCACCGTAGGAATAGTTGCATCTCAGCTCCAGGGGGGCTCCTTCAGAGACAGTGACATGGCTCTCAATCTGGGTGACCGACTGGGCTCCACTTCCTTCTGCAACATTAAGGCTGTGTCAGTGGGACCAGGACAAACAGACCCATGATGAGACGGTGTCTCTATTCAACTTCTGATTGGAAAAATGCTCCTTCTGTGGAGGGAGAAGCAGGGAATACAACATACTTACTCAGTGTGAAGAGACTTCCAAGCAGTAGAATGGTCACAGAGAGCATGGCTAGGTGGTGAGGAGGCTGAAAGTCCTTTCTGTAAAATGTCCCCAGGCAGAAGGAGTGGGTCACAAGATGTTGAGTCCTTGTAATGGGGAAAATATGAATTCAAGAGTTCCTTGTTTTGGCAAGGTCTAGAGAGCTTTACTATGAGGTAACTCCTTGACTGCTCTGGTGTCAGTCCTACTCAGAACACACAGCTCAGTGTGCTGTGCAGATCATAGGAGTGACACAGACATTGCTAGTCTGTGCAATGTCACCCTCTGGAGGCAAGAAAAAGAAACAAATTGAGTCAAGATTTTTCTGCTCCACTTCTTTTCTTGATAGTATTACTACTGCTGAGTGAGATTCTATTTTAATCTTATATACTAAATGTCATTACCTACTCCTATGAGATAAATAATATTGCCCTGATCATTTATAAATGAGGAAACTGAAGAATGGAAGAACAGATGAAATTTGTCCAAAAACACACTAAGTGCCAGAACTAGAGTTTGTCTCATTAATATGAGTCAAGACTTCCATATTATTATCTACTGATAACTATTGCACATTTATCACTGTGGCTCTTTAGATCAGATATTGTTCTCACTTAATGGAGGATGGAAACCAAGTTTTCATGAAATTAAATAATTTTGTCCAAGTACACATGAGGATTAGGACCTAACTCTTTTGCACACCAAGATCAGTCCATCACCCACTATGCTGGCTTGATATAGTGCTACTCTATTAAGAGTGGATGCAATTTTAAAAAGACAAAAGCTCAGAGTAAAACTCTGAAGAGAATAGGGACTAGAGAAAATTCTCAAGGGACCCAAATGCTGAAGGAATGAGTAGTGGAAGAAGTACCAAAGAAACCTCAAAGGGTAGTCGAGAGAGTGAAGTACCAAATCAGAATTGGCTGGTATTCTTAGATGCAAGAAGGAGATATACAACAGAATGAGTGGCCACTGGAGCAAATGATAAGAAAATGTGTAGCAAGAAGACAACTCTTCAGTGTCTGTTGAGTTTTTAACAGCACACAGATCATGTTTCAAGTCTTTTCAGAAAATAAACTGCAGTGCAATGTCAAAGGATGAGACAATGTTGAATATAGAAATAACTTTCCAGAGAACTCTTGATCACATGAAGAAGAGGAAAGAGACATGGAGTTAATTTAATGAGAGTTTTGAAAGAGTAATGGCAGGTTTGTAAAAAACGAGATATATTAATATGTTTTGGGAAGGAATTTATCAACCATGGTTGCAAATTCTGAGGATAAAGACAGCATTGGAATATGGAACACAGATGAAAGTACCAAACTTTGGTAGACAGATCAAATACTTCTACTTTTACTAGAAAAAAAGAGGAAAAGACTCATTGAATTTTAAGTAATTATTTGGGGTCTGAGGGCAGAGTTTTGGAATATTTTCTACTTTCTAATGGAATTTTTTCCTAAAAATAAAAATAGTGCCTTCCAAGAGAGAAAAAGGAGATGTTCTGCTTTAGGAATTCTGAGGTGTATGGGAAGTTTTGAAATAGCCCCTGTGGGAAATGGAAGTGGGAGATGATCACAGATAAAATGAATACTTTCCTGACACCACTGTGGACTGCATTAGTTCTGATGTCAACTTGTTTCAAGGACATCAGCCTGCACACCTGTATGAGTATCTTAAACCCTGCTTATCAGACAAGGTATGCATTATAAAGAAGATATTGATCCATGACTGGGGATTAATAAGATTGTCATTGGAACTAGGACTGGTTCAAATGGAGGGAGTTTACTAGAAAGCACAAACGACAACTGGGGTGTCGAGCTTGTGACATAGGGCACCATGTTCATGACACCAATGCTGTCCGAGTTTGTGACATCATCACAGAAAAAAAATTAAGGATGAGTCTAGTTAGATGCAAAGCTTAATTTACTAAAGCAGAAGAGCAGGAAATCAAAGTACATCCCAATAGGCCAGAAATGGCACTCAAAGTATGCCATGTCTTTATGTAAGGCATATTTATAAGGCTCAAGTCAGTGTAGGGGTCTCTGATCCTAATCTGTGTGTGTGGTTGTTTATTTTGACCATCGGGCATGACAGTCATTCACTGTGACACAGACCTCTCATTGCAATGACCTCTAACTTTTTTAAGCTGAAAAGTTTGGGAGTTACGTAGGTGATATATGTTTAAGAATCTGCCTGTCCCTTTCTTTTAGAAGATATTTATGTAGGATGAGGAAGCTCATCATTAAAAGACACTTACCTTCCTTAAACAAGGTCACTTATTAGTCCAAAGATGAATTTTACCAGATGTGTTTCTTTGAGATATTTACTTAGGATATGCTTATTTAGAGCAAATCACGAACACAAGGTCAAAATTATGGCTTTAAGCTATAGCTTAATGGGGAGTGAAAGATTTCAAGATACCTATTAATGCAGTGTTTATTCTTAGCTCCTGAATCTTAGCTCCTGAATCTTGGTTCCCATGCTTTAATGTCTCTACTTTAGCCTGCCTCAAGATCACTGCTATGTGGGAGGATGTAAGGAAAGGGTGGGTGAGGGGCTTAAATGTGGTAAAAATATTATGTACTCATGTATTAAAAATGAGACCTGTTGAAACTGTTCTAAAAATGGGGAAAGGGGGGATAAAGAAGAATGATGGAGTGGGTGAATTTAACTAAGACGTATTTTAAGCACTTTGGTAAATGTCACAGAGTGCCCCCAGTACAACAATAATATGGTAATAAAAATTAAAGGAAGACAATATAGAAAAAAAGGTTAAAAAAAGATTACTGCTATGACACAGAATTGAGGTAATGATAATGAGGTTAATGATGAAAGATTGAAAGTAATGGGCCATAGAGTTGAGCTACAGGTAAGACAATAGAAGAAGCCTCAGAAAGCAGAGGTTAATGAAGACATCAAGAGAAAGCTTAACTGACCATAAAGAGCCAAATAACAACTGCAGCAAGAGGAGCTGAGTGTGAGAGTCTCTGGCTGCGAGGTTCTAGACAGGATATAGATGGAACAGCATCCGACTGGAGAGTTGTCATCAGACCTTCCTAGACTGTGGTATGGTATTTAATGGCTAAAAGGAATTCTAATAATTATTATTAATGTTGATGAATTTAGGCTGCTTTCTGAATGTTCCATGTGGACATATAAGTCATGTGGTATTTAGGTTACAGGGGAAATTTCTGACCTGTGTCAAACCCTTCAATATTTGAAAAGCATTTGCTGTTTACAAAGATGAGAGTAACAAAAGGATAGGAGAAAATAAAGAAAAGGCAAAGCTCAAAGACCTGGTGAAAATGCCTGGATTATATTGGGTAAGAAGAGTGTATAGTAGCTCCCTCTAAAATGAGGCATTTCAGCTGGTGGAGAATAAAGAGCTCAAAAGAAAGAAAACTACACTTAGCTGAGAACTGAGAATTTTCACGGAGGCTATGAAAAGGTGTTCGTGTGTGTGTGTGTGTGTGTGCGTGTGCGTGTGCGTGTGCGTGTGCGTGTGTGTGTGTGTGGTGTGGTGCTGGGTATGGAACCCAGGTCCAGCACATTGTAGGCAAGTACACTACACTGAGATACACCCAAACCCAAAGTGTTTGCTTTTTTGTAGACTAGAGAAGATATATTCCTGGGAAGAAAAGAAAGGTTAGTTTAGGAAACAAAAACCAGAACCAAATCCTATGGTGAATGATTCTTCTCTGGAAGGAGTCAATCATGTAGGATGGACTGTGTTTCCCAGAGGTTCTAGTATAAAGAAATGAGGCTATGATAAAGTTACTGGTGCTCAGATGTCCCCACAGGTGCTGTAAATATGGTAAGTTCTAGGCTATCCAGAGGGACTCAGTATATGAGAAAGCCTGCAAGTGTTTCTATTTACCAATAAAAGTGTTAGAGGAAAAGAGCTGAACCTCACATTGACACACACCTGACAGAGGACACAATGTGACACATACACAGGCTGCCACATGTTAGGGGCATGTCAGCACCACATGAACTGGTGACTAAATTTTTGTGTGCTGCTATTTGATCATGTGGAATGTATTTGGTTTTATCGTTTTAATAGGCAATTCAGCAAAAGGAGACCAAAAGTCAAGTAGATGACTAGAAAAGAAAGTACAGACAAAATCTCTGAAACTGCTGCAGTTCTTTGTCACAGATTTAAATAACAGATCACTGAGTTGTACAGGGACAAGTTTCTTATTATTTGACATTTACTACTCTATTTCCCCTCTGAGTGCTGACAGACAGCTGATGTCTTGGTACAATAAGTGTACCAAGGTAGAACATGAAGCTACAGCAGACTGGGAGCCTAATAATGGTAAGATGTCCAACTGTTGACCTGGCCCTGCTTTGTCCTGACAGTGAGGGTGCAGGGTCAGCAGCAAGTGGCAGTGCCTCTGAAAGGCCGCTAGGGTTTGTCGAGTTTGAATGCATTGTGACACCTAGGTTGGAATTTGTCCATCCTAACATTGCTCAGTCCTTCCTTAAAATTTCTTTGACAAATGATCCTGTCTGGTAAGGGATAAAACTTAGTATTTAAGAAAGATTTCAAAGATACTGATCATTGAATATTTCTAAGTTTGGTAAATTAATGTGATGAGATCTGAGAGGCTTATCTGGAACAAAATATTATGAATTCTGGCTACAATTGCAAATATTCAAGTTTTGACTGTTCTCCTGCCTTCAGTCAGATTCTAAGGTGAAACACACTCACCAGTCTTTGGCTTCCTTATAGAAACAAACCAGAAGTCCTTGACTCCCCCTCACCCTTCCACCATGGTAACTGTAATTTCATATCAGCAGAGCATCTGCTTAGACAAATGAGATCAAAACAGGCTTCTACTTCTGGGGTTCCTCTGGCTGTGTTTTTGGAGATCCAATGGCAGAGGTGAAGGCCTGTTATTTAAAATGTAACTATGTTTTAATTCATCAGATGTCCTGGGAAGAGAGAGTAATAAACCTTTTAATTCGCATATTCAGCCACATTGTTGCCATGAGTGTGCATGTGTGGTTTGGAGCAATCCTGAAATTCTTGTTACAGTTTTTAAAAAGACAAAATCCCTTAAAAAGCTGTTTTATCAGTGAAAATAGCTAAAACAACGAATAGTATAAATATTGTTCAAAACAAAAATATTTTCCTATTTGGGAGT